AAATTTGTGGTTCAGAATCGTGCTGGCGAAGGAGCAGTCTCATTCCAGGGCATCTGAAAGAAATGAGCTAATAACTACTCGTGGTTCTCCGGAGACTTCACCCTGATTCCTGGAAGTAAATATTTTGCAACTGAATTTGTAGCAATGGTTTCCATTTTCCGATATGGCATAATAATTCTTCTGGGTTTAGAAAAATGTTTTGCGTGTGAACACTGAAATCACTTCTGCCAGTTAAATTACACAGAGACTTTCTACACTCAAATCAGGAGGTGACACCTCTGCCTGACTGAGTAGCTCTTTAAGATCAATCAGGACCTCTACACCCAGCAAAGCGATGTTTTCCATCTGAACTGAGGCTGGAATATAGGAATCCCACTAGAGATTGTGGAACGCATTACTAGGACAGGTGCTCCAACTCAGACGTTAGTGAAAAGAGCGGATAAAACACTGCTCCTGGGACGGCCTGGGGTAGACCAGGACCTGTCGGCTCCCTGGTGCTCCTGCAGCTCGGCCTTGGCTTGCCTCGTCTCCAGCCGGCAATCCTACCCTCTAAATCATTCACGAGTTTTCACCATATCTTGTGTATTCATCATCTCCCTTTTAGCCTCATAAAATCTTCCTTTTGCCATTGAGAAAAATGACACCAAGGGAGGGTAAGTGTCCTTATGGTACAGTTAATGGGTGTCAGGGAATGTGCTAAAATCTAGGCGTCTCACGTCCTGTACTAAATGGTATAAAAAGACTGTAAGTTGCCACAGGTATTTGTGATTTTGCTGAAGGAAGGAAAGGAGGACTTTTTAAGAACTGAAGAGGTCTTTTTGGAATTTGAAGTTAACCTATGATGCTAAAGCGTGCAACACTATCTGGATCATCTTCCTACCACCCTCACTCAAGGGAGTGTCTCCCTAGTGTCTATTTTTGTGAGAATTGTGGGATGCCATGCAAAACAGGAGAGAGGTGTTGTCTACCTTCCCAAGACTCACTACTCCTTCTTTTCTTTTTTTTTTTTTTTTCCGGTACCGGGAATCGAACTCATGACCTTGCGCTTGCCAGGCAGGCACTGTGCCGCTGAACTAAATCCCCAGCCCCTCTTTTCATTTCTTAACATCTTCCTTCCTGATACTCCCAGTACCCTGTGTACAAACACACACACGCACACACACAGTTCAGCTCTAAACCCCAGCCCAGCCCTCCACCGAGTTGGTAGACACTTGGTAAGTACTGTACTTGGTGACATAATTTTAACATGGAGAAAGCCATTTTTTGTAGTGGTTTTCACAATCTCTGAGCCTCAGCAAGTCTAGCCTCCTTAGAGTACCTTATGCGACTCAAGTAGTTAGGAGCCATTTATGAATTTGTTCTGCCGAGGAGATCTTTATATATCCATAAAAATAATCTACTGCCCTGGAGAGCTTTTGCATATTAAAATTAAAAGGCTGATATTATGGTAACCAAAGCTGTTGAATTTTCAATTCCCTCATCTGTATTTTTGTTTGTTTGTTTGGGTTTTTTTCCGGTACCAGGAATCGAACTCACGACCTTGTGCTTGCCAGGCAGGCACTGTGCCGCTGAGCTAAATCCCCAGCCCCTCCTCATCTGTTGAATAGGGTCTGGATATGCAAGAGCATTTGAAAAATGTGAAGGGCCAAGTGATAAAGTTATCACTATGGTAGTATAAAAATATCAAGTATTAAAGTATCTGCTATCAACTGAGTGAAGCCTCAGCTGGACAAATCATAAAGAATATTCATATTAGACATATGTGCACACTAGGTAAAGGGGAAAAGTCACAAAAGTGATTGTTTCATTTCATCCCCTTTACATGAAAGTGGTACTCTGAAATGCAAATTAAAGTTTCATAAGAAGAAATAAACTTTTTAGAAAAACATCTTTATAAAATTAAAATACTTAAAATGCTAGTTTCACTAGTAGGCAGGATAGACAAGGGCTCTAAAAAGAGCTCAGATGCCACTGGTGGAGATATTATGTATTTGGTGCACTTCTAGTCTTAAAACTCTGCCTGCACATCCACTCAACTTCCAGAATTCACACTAGGGAAATGAAAATAGGAATAAAAAGGTAGGTGGGAAAATGCCCATCATAATGTTTAAAACAGTAAAATAAAATTTTAAGAGACTTAGGAATATGGCGTCTGGAACCAAGAGCTGCTAGGGTTCTGCCGTGACTGCTCCTGAGATTCCAGGCATACTTTTTAATTTCATTTCCCACTGACCACCCCCAAATTCCACCTCTGACAAGCACTACATCGCACACTGTTCAACATATGAATTGTGGGGGAATACAGTACCTTCAGACCATAGCACTAGAGATGAATGAAAATATTACAGAGGACTATTTAGCTTGGAAATATATCAAAGGGGAAAATCAGGCTATAAAATAACATTTACTATCTGCTTGAACACAAATAATTATTAGGTGTTATCCAGTGTATCTAAACTCATTTGGATTTCTTTCTCTTAAAAGTTAATTGTATTTCAAACGAGCCAAAAAAATAGAGTTAAGTTTCTTTACCTCCTGTGGTAATATACCTTTAGTAGTGCCACCTAAACGACTTCTGTAATAAAATAGAAGCATTTCTATGAAGTGGTAAGTCCTCCATGCTGTAACAAATGTCTCAAGATCCCACCTAATCTCATAATCCTACTACAGTAATTATATACAGAACATGCCAAGGTAAGAAATACTACAGCTAGCAGCTTTCAAATGCCTGCAATAATTTTTTAAAGTATGCACTATGATTCTATCTAACGATGTTTATTATGGGATACTCAAAACAGATGTTCATATAATTTAGAATAAGTAGTATGGAATTCTAAGAATGACATTTGTAAAATGTGAAATTACTGCTATTAATGCTACCCTGTCCTACTAATAAGAATCACTTAAGGATATTGACTTCAATTTCACTGTTTGAATAGGAATCTTAATTTGCTTTGCAAAATTGTACTCCCTCCCTCTCCCGAACCATGAATTTGAACTATATAAGAACAACTTGTTACTTAGGTCTTTTTAGTCCAAAAACAAAATGTTTTTCCTCTAATCCTCACAAAAGCCGTTTGATCACCCTCCCTGTCAAGCAAGTACAGGCACCTCGCATGTTGCCAAGTACTGTGCTTTCACAAAATGTTACTAACATAGAAATACTACCCTTCCATGCTTCCCTAATTTTAACTGTTAAAATTAAGATCTCCGACTTCCACCAGTACAAGTGAGAGCGGGGCCATGTGCTTGCATCACGTATCACACATTCCGTGTTTTCCTGTCTCTTGTTATTAACCGTTTTAGATTCAGGATGCATGAAGCTCATCATTTTCATAGCTTTGAGCTCCGTTGTGTGATTCTACTTCAACTTCAGGGTTCATCTTTGGAACTAAAAGCAGGGAGGTGTGGTTTGCAAAAACCCTACAAATTCAGACTGTGGAGAGCACAAGAAAAAGAAGCCTCACACCCGGACACCTCCCAAGCTAAGGGATGCCAAGTACATCCAGCTGGGAGACCCTGTAAGCGGCTAACAGCGCTACGTTTGGCAAGACTACAGGTGCTTTCCTAGACATCTGGGAAAGGTAAAGCCGGCTTCAGCACTTCATGCCTGGGACAGGTAGACAGAAACCCAGGAAGATTAGCAGCAGTCTCACAGCAGCAGATAGAGTGACTTTTGGCTACGTTTTCTGTTTCTGGTCCAAAGGATTCTAACCAGAGTAGCAGGTTTAAGGAAAGAAAAAAAGCAAAAGAAAAAACCTTCCTTCCTTTCGCCTTTATTGCTTCTGGTTTGAGGCAGTTAGTCAGTTACTTATGTCCATGTGATTGCTTTCTGGTTGCATTTACGGTTACTAGGATGGAATTACAAATACTTCACTATTACTTCCAGCCCTCAGCCAGATGTGAATCTGCTAAGTTAAACAAAGACTTAAGTTTAAGAGTCTCAAAATTTTCTTATTACCTTTCTCCCTTGACTTCTATATGAAAGGAGTAATGAGTTTTTTTAATTTGAAAAATTAGTGTGGACAGTAGAACTCATGTGTGTAGTTCAGAGAAAAGTGTCTACTACCACACAGGATAAAGTCCCGAGATTTAGATCTCACCTCTTAAGAATCACAACCTCTAAAGAGTATTCACTAGAAATATGACTTATAAATTCCACGTACTGCTAGTTTTATTTCTGCATCCCTGAAGAAATATATCCTATCGTTACAACCCGTATTTTATTTTTAGATTAGGATACCCCAAAGGTAATTTTGAAAAGTGTTCTACCCCTGTTTTCACATTAATTTTATTAGCCAGTTTTAAAGAAATTACCTGGCAAATAAGATGTTTTCAGGTGTTCTTTTGTTGGGTGCAATCATCTACAAATAAGTTTCCTATTAAAACCTACTTACAATGCAGCTTAAAATGAAATAACTTTTAACATTAAGAGTGATTAGATTTTAAAGAGATTAAAGGTAATTGACTGCTGAAAACACACAAAGAGGACAAACTATTTGAAACTTTCACAAGAATGGAAAATGTTTAATAAACTTAGAAGGGTGGGCTTATTAAATGATAGTGTTATTTACAGCTGTAAGTCATCAACCACAAACACAACAATGTGTTTGCATGGCATGCTACAACAAAAGCTTTATTCAGCTCATTCAGAAAACATTGGCAAAATAAATTTCAGTTGTAAATTCACAGATACAAGCTTCAAAGTATAAAGTTGCATATAACAAAAAATGCAGGTAATATTTATAACAATAACTTACAGATACAAACTAATGATAAACTACAATTTCACAAAAGATTGTAAACATTTTGCACACTTGTCAGTCCTTTCTTTTAGGCAAAGTGCTCTTTTGATGACAAATAAATTAACAGATACACACTAGAGTGAACTATTTCCAGACAATACAAAAAAAGTGTTTTGATTTGTTTTCTACTTGTAAACATAAGTTTTACCAAAAAAAAAAAAAAAAAAAAAAAGAATCAATAAAAGTGTCTTGCAGGCCAACTAGAGATACATACCTGGGTAGCAAAGTGATGTTGCAAATGCTTTGGGTGTTAAATAAAAAATTAACATTACTATCTGTTCAATGGTGTTTTATACATAATGAATGACAAGTTTATAACCTCAATCATTTCTATCCCTGAAAAAAGGACTTAGGTATGACTTATTGGCAGCTGTGTCATTGAATGGGGTAACAAGGGCTGGAGTCCAAGAGTTGTTGGTGAATGAGCTACAAAATAGAAAGAAATTTATGGATCAGTTTTTAGGGTGAATAAAACAGGATTTCAAAACAAATAATTCAAGGCAGCGTGTTGTCATCATTCAGTACAGCCGAGGGTCCCAAGCTGCACGTGGAAGCTGTCCCTTCTCTCCAAGTGCTTCCATTTACCCAGTATCACGAGTATTAAATAAGAACCTTGGAATAATTTTACCCCCCAAATCTTTTCTTGGGTCACAAGCTTTTGCCGCTGCCATGTTCTCCACCCACACCCCATTCTCGGCCACTTTACCCTACAGCTAAAAAACACATGAGCTTTGTGTGTCTATGTTGCTGGCTTTCACACTCAGGTGTCTGAAAAGAATGACCTCAAGGTCTCCTTATTAATGTTTAACTATCTCCTCCTGAAACATACACCAAAGCACGTTTCACTCAGGGCACACTAGTCTTTCACATAAGCGTGAACACTTATGACACTAGTTTAAGTAAATGGCAACAATGTTGTATGCTCTGTTTTTATTTAATCAAAACTTAAAATGAGGTTCTGAGTTCAGCTGTGTTCCTCTAAACCAAACTTCCCCCTGAGAACAATCAGAAAGGCTGGAGGACACTTTTAAAAATCTGTTGGAAGGCATCTAAAAGATACATAAGTGGAGAAAAACTGCAAAATTAAGTCCCTGAGAGGAGGGAAAGAAAATGAGCCTGCTCTTCTACAAGGATAGTGAGAATTTTAAAATAAAAAGAATATTTAACAGGCTAGAAGTTTAGCAGAGCATTCAGAAGCTAGACTTTGGCTATGTGGTAGGGACAAAAGAGGAAATCCCCCTAAAGAGCGAAAGCCCTAGTTAAAAAAAAACAAAAATGAAACCAGGCTTTTACTTGTGATCCAATCTAAGGACTAGTAAAACAGAAACAGACCAGCCCCAGGATTGGATTGAGCTGAGCTGCCCTTCCCCACCTGGGTGTCTGAGGTAAAAGTAGAGCGATCCCTTACGTTGGAAGATACCACAAACTATTTTACGTTTTTCATACCCAATATCTGAAATGCAATAAAAAGAACAAAGCAAATGAGACATGACTTCTCCAAAAAAGGAAGAACAAACCAACAAAGCAGACTCACAGAGGACCCAGATATTAGAGTTATTGGACATGGGCTCTTGTATAACTGTCGTTAATATAATAATAATTTAAAGAATAAAGTGACAAAATAGATACCAGCATAGAAATGGCAATTCTCAAACTGAAAAACATAACTGATATTAAGACATCAGTGGATGAGTTTTATACATTATTAGGAATGGGCAGAATTAATGCAGTAGAAGTTAGAGTTGAAGAAAGTATCTAGACTAAAGCATATAAGGACAAAATGTTGAAAAATATGAAATTGCTTTATAGGGAAGAAACTTTCAAGGAGAAAAAAACTGAGAATTTCTTATAATGGTACATATTCCAAAAGCATACCCAGTAACACAGTAATAATACATTTTTGGAACCAGAGAAGCCAAAGGAATATGAAAAGGTATTTATTTTCAAAGGAACAGGAAGACAAGCAACAATTGATTTCAGTAATAAGTGATGCCAGATCAATTAGCTACTCATATGTGAAACAAGAGGTCCAAGGGAAGTCAGAAAACAAGGTAATCATTTTCAAAATGCTGAAAGAAAGTAACTGCCAACCTAGCTTTCTATACAGCACAAATACCACCTACAAGTGCATCAAAGTAATACCCAGGAATATACAGCAAAAGATGGTAAGATTTTTTAAAAATTCTGAAATATAAAAATAACTTAAAGATGAAACAAATAAGTGCAAAGACATCAAAGGCTGTTGTAGAAAAGTTAGTAGTAAGAGGGCAGAATTATTCTACCAAGATGTTGTTTTGGCCGGGGATATAGCTCAGTGGCACAAGCGACTGCCTGGCAAGTGCAAGGTCCTGAGTTCGATTCCTGGTACCCCCCCCCCCAAAAAAAATGCTTTTTCTTTTGGTGTAGAAAATGAGCTGATTAACATTTTTATGAAAACGGAGTCAAGAAAAGTCTGTACAAGTTTGAGTAACAACAAAACAGGAAGACTCGTACTACTTGACATCAAGAATTACAGCATTGGTATAACTAACGTGGCTAGATTATTAACACAAGGATAAACAGACCAGTAAAATCAAATAGAGGAGTCAGAAATTGATGTGTAAAATTTATGGACACTTGATTTATGACAAATGTGGCTCTAGAGAGGAGCTGGGAAATTTGTATTTTTACCAGTACAAGAAAAAAGCTTTATTTCCTCATTCCACACTCAAATTTATTTTCAGATGGGCTGTAAGTCTAACTGTCAAAAGTAAGCGAAGTTTCTATAAGCTAGGACAGGAGGAATAGCTTCATTATCTTTGAGTAGGAACAATTTCTTAAAAAGGTCAATAAAACACTGTCCATGAAAGAAAAAAAAACTGAGGAAATGAGGTATATTCAAACTAGGAATTTATGCTAAACAAAATATTCCATAGTGGAAAAAAGCAGGCCATTGAAAAGACGGTTACTGTCAACACACAATTATCAAAAAGCTTTCTATACAGACTGTATCAAGAAATGAAAACAATTGTTCAAAGAGAAAAACCAAGAGGCAGACATAGGTTCTTCACAAGAGGATACACCAATAACAAGGGGGGAAAAGGCAGAATCCCATCAGTCATGAGGGAAAAGTAATGCAATGAAACAGCACTGCAGCATCAGCAAATTGTTTACAATGAGGAAATTTAGAACCTAAGTGTAGAGCACCTTAAACTAGCCTATGCTGCTGCTCAAAGCGCAAGCTGGCTCCGCAAGTACAGAAAACTTTTGGTAGAACTCGCTAAGGTTAAGCATATGTGTAGCCTAGACTCTACCTAGACCCACTCTCAGATACGTACCAAACAGAAGCATGAGCTAACATGCACCAGAAGGCATGCTCAGTAACATCCACAGCAGCGTGTTCATAAATACTCAAACTGGGAGAGACCCAAACTTTTACCGCCCATAAATGAATAAGCTATGGTAAGATTCCCATAGTGGAACCCTATATTCAAGGGTACGATAAATCACCGACTCTTGCAACAATACCAATGACTTTCACAAACTAAGTAATTGAAAGAGTGAAACACACGTGAATATATTCTGTATGGTTCAATTTATGTAAAGCTCAAAAAAAAAAAAAAACAAAAAACGGCAGAGCTAAGGCATGGTTTCGGAAATGAGGGCTACACTACTTTGCAAGAAAACGAATGATTGGGAGGAGACACAAAAGAAGCTTCTGGGTGCTATCACATTCTACACAGTCCGTTTGTTCACTGTATAATTCATCAAGTCATGTGTGTCCTTTCCCATGTGCATAATTTGCTTCAATAAAAATGTCTGTCACAAAATGTGGTAAGACCCGATCTAAAGATCTGAACGTGAACACCGTTTCTGACCACAGGAAAATAAATTACTTAAATACTCACCAGGTGAGAACAAAAAAGTTTGCGTAGTGAAAGTTAAGCCGTAAGAGTGCTCATTATTAATATTTGTATTTTAGCTGTACGGTAGGTGTTAAACTTGTCCCTTAAAATGAAATCACAGGAAGAAGGAGGTCTGGATAATTTTTCTCTCTAGTGTACAGTCTACAGTGTTCTTCGGCTACTCTTGAGGTAATGTTTCAAAATGTGGATCACGTCGGTGATCTCATATGAGAAGCTGCCGGTTCCTGGCCGCCGGAGACCTGCCCCTGGGCGCCGGGATACCTACCATCCATGTAGCTGTGCAGAGCAGTGAGCATCCCGTCCTGGGGCACGTAGGCAGAGTACGCCATTTCCTCCAGCATGGGTGGAGACAGCCTGGAGGGCGGGACCGCCGTGACAGGGGCAGAGGAGGAGTGATTGGGACTGACGTGTTTCTTGTGGCGTGCTCTACAATTCTGAAACCACACCTGCGGGGGAAAGAGCGAGGTACCTGGGTCACTCACCAGCCTGGGAGGACAGTGCCAGGTCAGCTGAGCGACGAACGCAGCTTCCATCGCTCTACCACTGGAGCACTGAATAAACTTGTTTTAGAAGTTCTGCAGACAGATGAGAAACATTTTACCTCAGATATCACTCATTCTTTCACTTCAGATAATACCTGCATTACCACAGGTAATAGCTCTCTGGTCATTTACGTAAAAGGTGACTCAGTAAACTAGTGGTGGTGGAGGGAGTGGAAAAGGAAGAGGAAGTGGAGGAGGAAGAGGAAGGACATGAAGAAAAAAGAGGAGGAGATGGTGGAGGTGGAGAAGCTGGTGGTAGAAGAGGAGAAAAGTGCAAGAGGAGAAAGGGAAAGAAGAATCCTGGAAGAGGAGGCAAAGGGAGAGGGGGGAAGGGGGAGGGGGGAGAGGGAGGGGGAGGGCAGGGGACGGCAGAGGGAGGAGCTCAAGAATTCCTGAGAAGTACCCTTGGTTTTACTACTGGCATTTAGAAAAAAAAAAGCAGTAAAAAAAGCTTTTTAAATCAGGAATTTAAACACACACACACACACACACACACACACACACACACACACACACACACACTCCTGAATGTATTCTTAGACACCTGCTGAACTTATTTCAAATGCTTGTTCAAATGATTAAAATCCCTACTGAGAACTTACAGCTTTCTACAAGCCTCTTGATTCAGTTATTCCATTCACAGTTTAGCCTGCTGTGTTCAATTTCTCATAGACCATTCCCTAAGAAGCATACCAATGTCAGAGCTATAACTAGAAAAACTAGTACTATTTAAGTAAAATCAAACACAAACACATCCAACTGGAGAAAGAGTTCGCAAAGTGTAAAGGTGCTGACCACCCCGTTGTCCACTCTCTTGCAGGAATGATGCAAATTCAGGACGAGCGAGTTCTGCACCCAGCTCAGGGTGAATGAGGCTGGACTGCCCAAACCCTTCGACGTGACTCATCTGCCTGTGTTTGAATCCCCTGCCTGGAGACAAAACTCCGCCACAGAGCGTTATTGGATGAAAACTCTATGGAACTTAAACGCCATCATTACAAGCAATTCTATCGGGAGGAGAAGGATAAGGGGCGGGGTAAAAACTTGAAGGGAATTAGAAACTTTCTAGGATCACGGGAGAAGGCCAGGGAAAGGTCAAGGGCATCACTTCTGTTCAGGGCTGCTGAGCAGGAGTTCGATGGCACAAGAAAATTAGGGTCAATGAGTGAAACAGAAGGAAGCATCGAGAATTTATAACAAAAGTTGGCTTGACTTAAAAGACAGGCCCTGACACAGAGATTCCAAATCCAGGGCTGGGAGAGCGTGGATTGAAGGGATTAACGCTCAAGGAATAAAAATCAATAACTGAACTGCGCAGGCAGCCCCCTACAGGTGGTGGGAGGGGCAGCTCTAAGGAATGTTTCTGGAACACGACAGGCAGGTATCAAAGAAAGGGAGTGGGAATTCATAGGTTCCTTCTCCTCCTCTGCAGTGTCACTTCTGAGACACCAGGGCAGAGACCAGACCACAGCAGAAGTCTCCAGTCACCGTCCCCCCACTTACTCTGTGACCCTATGTGTCTCCAGTCTTCCCAGCTGAGAAGCCATCCTCAGACATTCCCTAGCCCGCAAGGGGTCAGAACAGCCACTTGCTTCCCTAGAAGTCACATGTCCCAGAGGGCTATCTGGAACCTAAGCCGCCTTCGCTACGATGGCCCCACAGTCTTCAAAATATCTTTGTCTCCAGTCAATTATACACGGGACAGAATCTACTCATTTATAAAAACAACAAAAAGTCCAATTATCGCCATTTCATTGAAACAAAAAAATCTCAGGCTTTGAAAATAAATATAATGTATAACATAAATAACAGAATAACAAACCTAATAATTTGAATACCTTCTTGAGAAGATCATCTACAGGTAATCTAGGAGAGAGAGGTTTGCGGACACAGAGTGTCCTGCAAGTTGAAAAGCAAAGCACAGCTGAGGATTCCATACATCAGAAGTAACCCGGCAAGAAAGCTACACCCTCAGAATTCACATAAAACTCACCACGCAGTTTTCTCCTTCTGTCTTGCAAAACTCTACCATTAGTTAAAATTTTCTGAGTAACACATTTTAAAAATTTTATTTTAAAAATTTTAAATTCTAAATCATAAATTCCATAAGCTGAAAGCAGTAACTGAACAGATACATTGTAAAATTAAAAAAAAAATCTCTAGCTGGACATGCACATAGCAACTACTTAGGAGGCCCAGTCAGGCAACTTAGGGAGACCCTATCTCAGTGAGGGTTTGGGATGTAGTTCAGTGTCCCCTGGGTTCACTCACCATTAACACACACGCATATACCTGTGCAAATGCACACATGCCCCTGGTGCATAAAATGAAGCCTTTAGAAAGTCCAGGCAAAAAGCCAAATAGGAAAATTTATTGTATGAAAAAAACAACAACAAAATTTTTATTATTGGGAAAGCATGGCTTACTGATTTAGGGAAACCTGGTTATTCTTTTCAGAGAAAAAACAGATAAACTCTACCTCACATGGGACCAATCCAAATAAATTAAAGTTTAGGTGTAAATAATTGAAACCACAAATGTTTAAGGAAACAAAAACCAATACTGATACACTTTTTAGATAGAAAAGCATAATAAAGGCCAGAACTATCAAAAGTTAAAGAGATTGGAATACATAAAAACTTAAAAGTTCTATATGGAAAAATAAGTGAAAAGGGGCTGGGGATTTAGCTCAGCGGCAAAAGCGCCTGCCTGGCAAGCGCAAGGTCGTGAGTTCGGTTCCCCGTACCGGAGAAAAACCAAAAAAAAAAAAAAAAAGTGAAAAGGAATGTGATGAACCATGACAGTTTAATGACAGAATAAAAATCAGTAAGATGGAGAGAAAAGAAATAACTCACCAGAAAAGTGGAATAAGACAATACAGGTTTTGAAATTACAAAACAAGCAAACATGTTCAAGTTCATTGATAATAAGTAGAAATAAAAACGAAATTTTCTGGGGCTGGGGGTTTAGCTCAGCGGCACAGAGCCTGCTTGGCAAGCATAAAGTTGTGAGTTTGATTCCCGGTACTGGGAAGAAAACAACCCCCCAAAAAACAAAACAAAACAACAAAACGAGATTTTCTTTTTCTGACTACCAAGTTGGCAAGGCTCTACAGAGTGGACCACATTTAAGATTCTCATGAATTAAGGAAAAAGAAACTCTTGTATGTAGTGCCTGGCAGATTCAGAATAAATTGGTATAAATTTTTGGAAGGGAATATTTGTATACAGGCCCTAAATATTCTACCTTTTGATACATTTCATCCACAAATGTATCATAAGGAAACTACTGGCCAAGCATGCAAGACGGATATATGGTGTTGCTCATGTCAGAATTTTTTTTTTTTTTAATTTTATTTTAAGGATAAAAGGAGGGAAACATTAACAGACATACAACATTTTACAACATATCACAAGCACACAGAATTTTTTTTAATAGTGAAAAGTTGGAAACTAAATAAATGATGCTATCTATGCTCAGCATATGTAGCAATAAAAATAATGTAATGTTGTATGGAAAGATTTCCAGCACTCTGACTGAAAGAAACAGTTTTATTCTGTATCAGTGAGATCTATAACTCCTAGTTCACTTATCTGAAATGAACAGTGACAGGATCTGGTTGCAGAGCTAATGAAAAGTTAAATCACCCATCTTTATCCTTTGGCTTCAGCCCAGTGACAATCTTCTCCGTTACAACCTCTCACAAAGAAGACTGGCGGCTACTAAGCCGAGACTCTTAACATGTGAGCCCATTATTTCAACCTATCCCTTGGGCAGCCTAGTTTGTATATTACAATAGAGACCTAGCAACCCAAACTCTTCTATGACCTTTCTGAAGTGTTGTGCCTGGCACTAGGAAGGGTTTTGGGGGAAAAGAGATCATCATTTACATTTTGAGGTCACAGAAACTTAATTCTCCAAAAATATTGTGAAGGATTATATATTCAAATTACACACAAATACTACACACATTTGTGTGCTAACACACCTTCCTTCACCATCTTATCAAAATGTCTACCATGCAGTCTTCACTTATTAAAAGACAAAATCCAAATAGATACTCTCCAAGTTTCAGCACCTGAGATCACGCTAATTTGCACATAATACTGGTGACCTAAATACTTGGACATGACATAAAATGTCTGTCAGTGGTCCTTCCTGCTTCAAATATCGAGAAATGCCCTAAGATGACCCAGTCTTTGCTCTCAACTGAAACAGTCTGAAACATAACAGTTGTGAACCCACCTTTCTTGTGGACACCCTTGCCGTGGATGTACAAAGTCTTAAGTTGGAAGGTACAGGAAACTCACTGCTTTCCTTGGTGGTCGTGCCACATTGGAAGCCTTTTACACTGAGAAAGTTCCTCTTGTGTGCATAACAGTGCTTCTCCACACATTCGCTGTAGGGCAGCTTTTCACACATGCTGAAGGACACCTACTCTGGAACAACCTATCCTTCCCTTCCAATTTCCTGACCCTATCTCCAGACAAATATCCCCATTACCTTTAATATTAAGACACAATTTCTAGATCTTTTCTCAAAGGCGGCATTCTTTTCAGATTGGTTCCTTGTTAGTCTAAAGTTTAGTTCCCTAAAATAAATGCCATACTCAGGGTGTCTGCAAAGTGCTGAGGCTGTGGGACCCCACCCCTAGCGTGCCTTATATGCTGTAGTCAACCAAACCACTGGGAACCGTAGTCAGCAGAGGAGTACTCTCAGTCTTTCCCATTGGATTCCATGCATTTCTGTTTAAATCTTCTAACACTTCTGGCTTCCTGAAGTGTACCAACCCCTCAACTTAATAAACAAGACAGATGAACAATAAAGGGATTGATCCATCCACTCCCTAACAAATTTCATTTTATCTTACTAGATGTTCCTTAAAGTATTTTAAACCTTGAGTAACTAAAATTATTCCTCATACCCCAGTCTCTCTATAGCATCTTGCCAGGGATGATTTCCTCTTTGAAGATGCCCAGCTCCTTCAGGAGCTCTCTCTACCAACTCCTTCCTTGATCCTGGAGTTGTTCTGTCCCATTCAAAAGCTCTTTCACCCTGCCCTCTCTCTCTAAGTCCACTCCACTCCGTTAAGTTCTACGCTTTGTTTCTCAAGCATATTATTCAATTTCTCTTTGCTTGGGGCCTGTCCCACCTTTCAAATTTCACATACACAACTTTCACCATCACCGCACAATTAACACAACCAAAAGGGGCTTCATCTCCCTCCCAAGAGAAAACCAAGTTTTCTTTTCACTTGAATATACTCATGGATACTTTGATTTATCTCTACTTTTCCATTTTGGTCTCCAAGTCAGGTCTCTCTCTTCCCTTCACCCTTTGCTATCAGTGTACAGCTGATAAAATATGACTCGAATGAATTCTAGTCTTACTACTTCAGTAAGTCTCTTTCCAAAAAATCACTGCTCTGCAGGGCGTCCCAGTGAAGCTATCTACCTCTGTTTGGCCTTCGCTCAACTTGAATTCTGTCCATCTGGCATCACTTGCTCTTTCTTCCAAAAATCACACATCACAGCTTCTGTTCAAGAGAGAACTCTACATTCGCAGGGCTCTACAACTTCAATTTCATTTTCCATAAATTCCAAATATAAAGTCTGCATTCCAGTAAGTGTGCTCTAACTCACCCCTCCCTGGCTCTGTTCACACCACTTCTGTTACAAAACAGAAGTAATGGAAAAGAACACGGACCTCAGAATCTGAGGAAACTTAGAGAACTGCAGTTGTCTTTCCTAGTCTGAGGCTGTTAGGATTGCCGTGACACTGAATGAAGACATTCAAAAGGTCATTTGACAAAGGGCAGCCTACCCCAGGCAGGTAAATCATCAGGGTTACAACACTGCTTTAAAGAGTCAAGTGATCTATAACAGGTAACTAATATTTTGAGAGGTTTTTTATCAACAAAAGAACACCACACACTCATAAGGACGCAGAGTTAGAACATCCTGTATCTCAGGATTGACCCGTAAGATAGTCACCTGTATCACACGTCTGCTCAAGCCTGTCCTTTCTGCCAGTTTCTGGAGGGTCTGTGCATCTGGGTTGTTGTCCTGAGCAAATTGTGCTTGCATAACCTGTGATTAAAAAAAAAAAAAAAAAAAAAAAAGGAAGATGTAGGCTGCAAATGATTCAAGAGACACAGCTCACTCTTCTGCATTTTGATGATGGAGGAACAAGATATGCATATGCAAACGTGATACAGTGATGCCTCAGTTCATGGTCACCTCTGTTCGTGAATAATTCAGTTCACAAACAGAAGCAGTGGGCACAATTTTGTTTCCATTTGCAAACTCCATCTCAGGTGAGGAACACGACCTTGGCCATCTTCCCTGGAACTGTGGAATGAATTAAGTTCCTGAACCAAGGTACCACTATACTTGTATTTTATTACTGGAAAACCAGTGTAGAGAAGTATATACAAGTGAAAAGGCAGGCAAATTTTGTATATTTACACACAGGCTGTTCTGCTGAAATCTTGAAAAAATAATCCTCTTCAATATAAGTTCAACTGTCAACGCTGCTGCTAGAAATAGCCTCACCCTTTTTCCCCGTTCCTAGAACTTACAAATGAAATGTGTAACATGAATCCCATTTACCATGTTTCCCATTTTGCCAAACTTCTCAGCACTAGAAAACTTAATAAAACGTGAAAAACATAGAATATTTATCTCCAGCCTCTCCTAGGCTGAACAGGTTGACTGCCTGCAAAATAATTGTGACTGATCTGCAAAGAGTACATGGATTTCACTTCATTGCGATGACGCCATCATTTTGTTTTGATGACTCTGTGAAAAAGTATCTGAGATCATAAAGAGAGGCTTCTGTCAGTCCACCGAGAGTTTACTGGGGTCTACGGGTGGAGAGATGGATCAAGCTCACAGGCGCCGATGTCAGTTTGTGGACTGCTGACACCAGGCCAAGCGCCATGAGACAGCGATGGTGGGCAGCTGTGCCTCGTCTTCCTTCCCGGGAAGAAAGATTCTGACGTGCTGAACACTACCTATCATAAAAGACAAAGGGAGGAGTGTACAAGAGCGCAGGGACCAGAATACATCACAAGCCCAAGGCTCCGTATTCTTCAGAAGAGGGAATCACTATGGTAATCAAGTGAGATACTTGAATTTCATCACTAAAAGTCAATCAACTGCAAGAAGCATTAGAAAACAAAAATGATGTACTTTAAGGAATGAGGGAGAAGTCTGGCGTCCCACACAACTGCGCTTAGCCACAGGCATGGGTGTGGCACCCAACCATTTACAGATCTTAAGCAGATCTGGCCTCTCGGCCCTTTCCAACAGAAAAAACTAACTGCACTCCCTGCTCGTTCTTTATGTGGTACGTCTTCCGCCACGCGACTGTCCCGGGAGCCGAAGAGCTGCTGGCAAGTCTGCTCTCCAGGGCAGAGAATGCGTTCCTCAACACGGGAACGCCTTGTGCTTCGCCTCCCCGGGAATTAACCTCCCTTCCGGCCACACACCGGGCAGAGTTTGTAGCAGAATGAAACTTGACAATGTGAGGAAAATCGGAGAGTGCGGAGCAAGAGTCCAACGCTGTTCCAGGAAGCGAGGTTTACACATTATATGTTCAGGTAAGATCTCTCTGATAAGCGGCTCTTCTACAGTTAAATATTCCTGACTTGCCAGCCTGCTGTCCTGTGTTTTTGCATTCATTAATAACGAAACATAGACTTCTGGTTTAAACAATGAGAAAAGAAAAACTGCCTGACCACCTACAATCTTCATATTTCCCTTTCTACTGCAAATGTATTACATTAATATTTTCCTATGCAAATAGTTGTGTTTATAGGTAATTGAGCGCAAAATGTCCCAAAGAGAAAAAGGAATGAGAAAAATAATTATGTCTCTGTTTTTTAATTTTTCAAAAAGGCTGAACAGATACTTGGAGATTTGCTTGTTACCAACCATCATTACCAACGATCTGTTTTTTTAGAGTATGCCTTTCACAAAGGAATTTTAGATTGACAAGTTTAATCATGGAACCAAATTACCTTTAATAAAGGGGATTCTCATCAAGCAATAAAACCAAGTTCAGATCAACGTGGATTATTTAAATTAGAATATTCTCTTGAAAAAGTGGTACTCGTTAATCTTTTTTACATAGTATCAGTAGTCTTAGAAAAAAAGATCCCTCCAAATTCTTCTCAGTTGGCCCTGTTATCCAAACACTACTGTTCCCGTCCCAGACTCTTCTAACACGGAGAGTGAGCTCATGGAGCCAGCTTACTCCCCACAGCAGAAAACGTGTCCCTGGACACAGGGAACGCCATATTCGTCACCTCGCTGGGAAGTAAGCATTCTAAGGCCAGGAGGTCTACCAGAAACGTCAGGAGTCAGACCAACTCCATCTGAAAATACACTGCAGTAGAAGCTAAACACGGCATACATCGTAACAACCATTGGCCAGGTGCCTGCCACAACCGTATACAAAGCATAATATTAGCAGAAATGTCTTAGTATTCTTACAAAGGAGACAGCATTTCATGTATATTTGCGGACCCATCCTCTGAGCTAACCTATGCTTTCTTCCCATTAATTTTCAATAAGAAGCATGGTATTTATTTATTTATTTGTTTATTTCAATACTGGGGGTGGAACCCCGGGCCTTGGGCTGGTCAAGCATTCTACATCTCTACATTCTACATCTCTAGCTCTTTATTTGTCCCATTTTAACCTGCATCTGTCCAAAGCAGGTATCACCTTAACTGTCTCGACCAAACTAGAATATACTCAGCTTTCTGAAAGGTAGAACTATCCCACAGCGTAGGTGCACTGCCTGACTTATTAGATCTGCCAAAAGTACATGATTCAAGTAAGTCTGTTTGATTTTTAAATCTGCAGCTATCCCAAATTCCTAAATTTCAAAGAACTACTTGAGGATTGTATTTCGTTTGTTTCAGCTCTCCCTGGTATAAGATAAATGCTAATAAATACTGAATAAATGAAAACCCGCTTTTAAAACTGTACCACTTATTGCTTCCATTTTTAAAAACCTGTAATTCTGAAAAATTTTTCAAAAGCATGATTCAGATCACATTTGTACAATAATGCATGGCGGACATATTTTATGCACATTTGCAATTTAAAACTGCCAAGCCTAGCTACAAACTTCGTTAAGGCTCAGGGGCACTCGTGGTCTCCAGGCAGGCCAAGCCTATGCAAACAGCAGACGCCGGGTGGGCAGGGCCTGACTCTCTTCCCTGCCATCCCCTTGGAGCTCTGCCTGGATAGGAATTCCTGGACCTCCTTGGAGAGGAATTTCTGGGAGAGTTAAAGGAGATGGTGTTGATGAGGCCGGCACAGGACTTCGCACGAAAAGACCTCCACAAATACTCTTTTTATTTCATTTATCTTCCCATAGGTGATTATATACATACTGGTTTCAAATTCTCAGTGATAATTGGAATAATAAATTTTACATCAAATTAAAGTTATCAATCTTATAACTCAAGATTAGAGCTGACCCTTGATGAGAACCATCCAACTTAAAAAACAGATACATCGACAGTAGAGATTCTCTTGTAACCCAGACACCTTTTAACCACTGGGCGTTTTCCCAGAGCTTGCGCGAGTGCTCACACCTAACTTAGGGTGTGTGTGGTCTCCTCTCCAAGCCCAGCAGCATCCTGAGGAATACAGTTCAGTCGGAGAGCTTTCTCTTGATTGTCTTGTCTTTCATTTATTGACCATGTACTTTTATGCCTAAGAAATCCATAATAATTATCTATTTGGATTTTTTTCCTGAGTGGATCTAGATTTTAATGGTAGAGTAGGTTCCATGGTCAAGTTTCCTTGAAATGTTTGCAGCATATTCAGGTTTCTTTCCTAAATCCTCCCCGAAATAAAATTCTCTCTTGAGACACTTTCGATTGCTGTGACCATCTTAAAATCTAGCAGGTCTTAGAATGCTACAGGTGAGTTCCAGAATACTACCTTCATGCATTTGGTAACTGCCTAAATGTCTTCTAAAGTCTGAGCTACTGGTGGTTCATGGTAGGTGCTCGTTTCTTCCGTTTAAAACAAATACCTCATCCACATTAATTTTTTAGAAAATGTGACTGTATTATCTGAAAAAAATCATTATAGGTGAAGACCTAAATGTAAAGCAAGGAGCAATTACTTATTTTTTTGACAATTTGTACAAATCAAACTTATGAAAATTATGTTTAAGAAAACTAAGCTGAAAATAATTCTTCCTTGCAGGGGACATAACCAACCTTTAACATCAAATTACAGAATTAGTCTTTCTATCCTTTTTAAAGACAAGAAAGGAACAATCTGGCTGTTAATTAAGGCAGGTGTATTCAATTCTTTCCTACTCAAAAAACATACAATCTTGTCCATTAAAGGACTCATTGGAGTTTGTTAAAAAGACTAACAAATTGGAGTTTCACAGATTCACATGATATCTTTTTCTGTTACAAGTCTCAAAACAGAGTGTGTCTTCTCTTGCAATCACATACACTAATGTACATATCTGGACTGAACTGATGTTATCAGGAAGTCAGAACAGATCCACATTTGGTTTCCACTTTCATGCTGACACCAAAAGACTCCAAGGAAACAAAGCTAGATCACTGGACCCTTTCTATTCTGGTGCTAGAGGACAATGAGAAACATTTTAGGGCGATAAGTATATTTTCATGTATTTATCTAGTTGGTTTCAAGAAAGGTTAACTTTTTAGAAAACGTAACTGTTTTTAAGCAACACAGAAATTGCTTTCTTGTTTTGGGTTTTTTTTTTCTTTTGGCGGGGAGGGGATTCAAAAATCATAAATTCATTGCCAGGTCTACCTGGAGCTGATCTGCGGTAAAGCTGGTCCGAGCTCTTTTTGCTGGTTTTGGATGATTAACATCTTGTTCTGTGAGGAGGGCACCTTCCACACTAATTCCGTTACCTGCATTTAAAAAACATACCATACGTGTTGGTAACGCAAATGGGTCCTCCACTTGCAAAGTAATAGTTTTCTTGTACTTCTGGGCTTGTAAAACCGTATGCATCTTCTAAACCTTACTTTTTACTATTTTTTTTCCCCCACAGTACTGCAGATTGAACTCAAGATCTAAGCACTGAGCTATATCCCCCGGCCTTTCAAAAATTCTTTTACTTTGAGACAGGGTCTCAGTACAAGTCACTCCATTTGCCTAGGCTGGGCCTGAACTTGTGAATTTACAATCGTCCTGCTTCAGCTTCCCAGGGCGCAGAGATTACAGGCATGCGTCACCCAAGTTAAAACCCACTAAGTTTTAATTTAACACAGCCTAAACATGCTGTAGAAACAACAGTTCATGCGTAGGCTTGCGTATTCAAAAAGTTAGAAGCGCACTGCGAAGGCCCGCCCTTAGGAAGGCACACACAGGGAAACAACTGTTTACAGAACAGAGAAGCTGCAGCCTAACCCAAGGCTGCTGTCTGAGGACACAGCTAATGCATATGCCATGGTTTTCCCAGCAAATAAAACAGATGGAGGTCATCACTAGCTGTAGAGTGCTTGATGACTCTTACCACAATTATATTTTGCCTAAAATAATGCACCAAGATGACCTTAGGAAAAAATCATTTTTATCCCTCTATTCAATGTCCCCAAAGACTCAAAAGTATTTTAGGAACATATTTACCATTTTCCACTTCTCTTTTTAAATTATCAAGCATGCAGTCATAATGCACTCTGCAGAGGACTTTCTCTTCCACCAACGCAAACTCCTCTCCCGTGGAAAGTTGCCTTTTGCAAGAGAAGCAGGCGAAACACGCCAAGTGATAGACATTTCCTTTGGCCCTGCGGACCCAGTCAGTAGAGTGGATGTGCCTGCCGCATCGAGAGCAGCGAGTTCCGTATCTTCTGCAGTGAACAAAAGGGCAGGAGTGGAAGATTTTAATGCCCGGAAGCTATTTATCAGTCTAATATCAAACTGACACATAAATTCTCTCCGCTGGAATACCCTAAGCATTTCAATACCTCGAAAATGAAACAGGAATTACTTTTCTGAAAGTCAATATGCTAAGGAGTTAAGATTTGAGATAGTTACAATTCAAATCTATTTTCAAAAATAAAACTTTTAAAATAAATAATATACAAGTATCAATATCCTCCTCATTGTGTTCAATGTCAGGGCATTTGTAAATGTACCTGGAGGCTTATGATTACAAGTGTGCCCACATATGTACACACACACTCACCTACACGCTAGAGATGTAAAACCTCAAAGTGCAAAAAATCTCTATTTGACATGAATATTGACTTTTTAAAACCAAGTGGAGAGATTGCAAGGTGTAGCTCAGTGGTACAGCGTGTCTTTAGTACTCACAAAGCCCTGGGTTCCATCCCCAGCGTCAAAATACAAACCAAATAAACAAAAAAATCAAGTTGAGATGATCACAAAATGCTATAAATTAATGTCTCAAACATTTCAAATAGATATTATCAAAGAAGCAGAGAACTCAAATTTTTTACCCTGGTAGATGACAAAGGAAAACCCTGAAATGTTTCCTTTAATGGGAGGTTACCATATTGTTATTCACAGGAGGAAAGGAGTATTACCTAGACCTCCCAGAGACATATTTAGACATTAAACACACATTAAACTTAACAAAATGCCAGACCGGATGTGAGCATCCCATTTCCTCCCAGGCTGGGTAACTGGACCCACTGTCCTGTCTCCTATCACAGGCATGGGCCAGTGGGGTCAGCTCACACTGCATTAGTACATACGACCCTGCCCACCTGGGCATAGATCTTCACAGGTATTGCCAATTTATTTTTTAAAATTATATCAAAACATTGAACCTTAAAAATAAATTTCATAATATAACAAAATGTGAAGTATTAAAAATTCTAAAGAACTAGATTTTCAAACTTGAATCTTTCAAAAGGTTTTAATTTATCATAAAAAATTAAGATTAGCATATCCGATGTCAAAAAAGCAGCAAACTATTAACTGCAGGTGAAGAAACCGAGAATAAACCTAATGAGAAATATATATTTGGGACTGTTACAAAACTGCTTGATTTTATAAACTAAAGAACTCTGGATATTATGACGTGATTTAAGTTACCTAGTGATTTTATTCAAATTAACCACTAAACTCTCTAAATTCAATTTTTGAAACCGAGTGTAAACAACATAATTAGTATTACAAACTCCACTATGTAGAACTAATGCCAGAATTTCCAAATGAACATTTTTTTTCATTTGAAAATCCAAATAAAGAAGAAATAAGGTAATTTTAAAAGTCATTCTTAGGAACAATTGCAACTTCTAGACAACTCTCCATAAAAAATGACCCTGTAAGAAACTACATTTAAGCAATTATAAAGACATCACAGAAAGAAAACTTAGTATCTTGTGCAAATATAATCTTATGAACTAAAGTTCAAAGAAGAAACAAAAGAAGCCGGATTTTTAGGCAGACTTCTTCGATTTGGTGTATTTATGATATAGGAACAACGATCAATCCTTCCGAATCATGTGGTTCATCTGTTTTCAAACTCCTGGCATCTCATGGGTGTATAACTAGGGATCATTCTATGGTAAACCAGTAAAAGTTTAACAAAATCTTTTTTCCTCTGTAATCAGTTTCTTTTCATCCTATCCCTTCCGCCTGACAAGGGACACTGTCACAAGTCATCCTGTGTTTCATACTTTATGCGCTGCAAATACGTTCCCCGCTTTTAGTGCTTAAAATTTTCATCCTCTACATTGGGACTATTATTTAAAATTAAGTTTTGGATAGTAAATTCCTAGAGGAGGAAAACACATTTATTTTGTTTTACTATAAAATAGACCTCAAAATAGATTTTGCAATCCATCGTACAGGAACAACGGAGCTTATGGTAAATGAAACTGGACAAAAGTGTATCACAAAACTCGTTTGCTGAATAATTTTTTGAAGTGCCTACTTTACTAAGAACAAGCTTCCCAGTGTACCTGAAATAATCGAGTTTGCAGAAAATGTCTTTGTCCTTAATGTAACAGCTGGTGTGCCTTCCGAGGGAGGTTCTGCAGACACTGCAGGAGAGGCACCGGACATGCCAGCACAGGTCGTTCACCTGCAGAGGGAAGAGGGCAGTGAGAGGCCACTCCCATCTCACACAGAAGGGCAGCACCCGAAATGCTGGCCCTGTGAGATGCTGACACATCCTCTGACCGTTTCCATCCAAGCAATGTCATTTATATAAACATCCATCTGAATACATTCACTCTTACACTCCAGACAGGGGGAAAAAAAATCTCATCTATCTATCTATCTATCTATCTTTAAAAATTGTGTCGTTTCTTTCTTAAATCAATATGAACACCAGGAAAGTTCTGGTCACTTGAAAGTCCTACATGCAAATGTTTTGCTTCCTTCCCCAGCCAAATTCTTCCCACTTTCTCAACCTACACTTTGGTCAAATAATTGCAAACTATACTTTTGCTTCAAAGAGCACCAAAGAAAGTGAAAACAGCCTGGAAAGATAATCACCTCGGTAAAGAAACTGAGCAGTCTCTTTCTTTAAAGCAGAAGTAGCTAAGGTTGAGCTAAGTGCTGCTATGGCAGTAGCCCTGCCTCTCTGTTAGCATCACCCACTCCACAGAAATAAAGGTAGCCACGGAGTAAAGTACAGTCACTAGTGACTTCAGTACAATTATAAGTGGCTGTAAAAAGGCACCAAGCATATTTTGCATCTATTCTTCAAATAGTAGGATATAACACCATGTCAGAAAAAAGGAGCACTTCATACTTTCTAAAGGCACCAGACATATCAACTGGGGGAAACAATCTGCAATTATTCTCACTTTAAATTTGCCATCATACAATAAGCACCACAATGCAGGCTTTCAAGAATGAAGGTGTGCACTGCATTGAACTGGCCTGCTACAGACTCCCAAAGTTTGCTCTTGTGAAACAGACATAAGAACTAGGTTTATGCTTAATTAAATGTCATTCGAAAGAATAGCACTGGTGCAAAATCACCAGTTACACCCTCCCAATGGCTCCTATGACAGAAATAGGAACGGGAACTACTGTGAGATTTGGCTTTTGTGACACTATTTAATAGAAAAAGAACTTTCTGCCCAGTGACTGTCAGACTCTTAAGCCCTGTTCAGCGTGTTTATCTGTGACATGAGTTACATACAGAACTTTCTGAAAGACTGAAGTATTACTGGTTTCTAATTACAGTTGATGCATCAATTTCCAAAGCAATATTTTTGGTTTTCAAGTCTCTTTTTTGATGAAATTTTAAGTTTTGGTCTTTCTTTAAAAGAACTACATACTCACTATAAAAATAAAACAATGCAAATAACAGAGAAATAATAGAAAAAAAATCCAAGAAAGCTAGAATAAAAAAAAATAATGGTGAATACTGCCCTAGAAATAAAGATATAGTCTTCCTTAGTCTTTTCTCTCAAATGAGCTGACTTAGGATAAAGTTTAAAAGTGCAGGCTTTGTTAATATTCCACAGCTTAGGGCCATCTATATTTCAATCACATCCAAGTTTTTGTTTTGTTTTGTTTTGTAAAAGAAGGCTTCAGGACAGAGCCATGGCCTCTTTCTCCACAAAAACCAAACAAAATGCCAGGTCTACCACCTTTCCTCAAAGTTGACTTTCAAAAAACAACAAACAACAACAGCAACACAACAAAACTCCTAGATCTTCCATTTCTTTTTTAGGGAGTAAAGTAAGGTGAGGAGAGAAGATTCTGGAAACTGTAAGCTTTCTCTGCTGGCTAGTATTCATCCAATCAGTAAACGCCTAAACATACAACTAGGACCAGGACAGAAAAACTACCCAAAGGACAGGCCCTGAAGCAGGAAATGAGCCACTCTACTCCTCCCGTAATTCTGCATTATATCGCTTCACTTATTGTTAGTTCACCCATATCAATGCTAGGTCTGTTTTTAGCAGCGACAAGTGTGAATTCAAACTTACCTGGAAAAGTACTCAAAGTGGGGAGGGGATGTTAAGAACTCAGGCTTTTAAAATAATTGTATACTATCAGAGTGTAGTTAGAGCTAATATGCTAATAACACACGAAGTGGTAGAACAGATTGTATGGAGAATACTACAGTGGGCACCCTACTGTCCTGTGGCAAAAAAGAACTTTATATAACTCTCTTAGATAACAAATATTTTACATACTACCAAGATAGGCAATATTCAAACTTAGGCAAAATGAACACTAGAAAGTACTATCTGTTTCTGAGGTTGTGTTGTTACTTTCCTATAAGTTTTCCAGGTCTTCTCTGTTACAAAGTGTTAAAAGACTTCATAGATCCACTCCTGAAACCTTCTTAACGATTCTGCGAATTACTGACAAGGCTCACTGAAAACAAGGAACTGGTTTTAATCCAAAGGATGATTTCAAAATTCCAAAAAGTGTCAAGTTTAGCAACAATGAAAATGGAATCTTAAGAATGCATATTCAATTAAAGAAAAAACCCATGTTAATTTCCAATTTAAAAAAATCAACCACCAAATAAGATTCAGTCATTTTTAAACGTTCTCACCCAAACCCCTCTCTTTGCTGTATCTGGGTAATTCACGTTTCTACAGACAAACCAATCTGTATGTTGATGTTGAAACTTAAACCCACTAATTCACTTTTTGAACTTAGGCTCTCCCAAATTAATCCTTTTGAAAACCTAAGCGTGGTGGGGTGGGATGAGAAAGTGAACTGGTTTGCAACTACTTTGGTACGGGAGAAGTCATTATTTTGCACAGTTGTTTTTAGGAACTACTGAAGTTGAAAATCCAATGTAGTACCATTAAGACACGAGGGACCATGACCTTGCTTGCTGCGACTTGGATAACTGTAGCCTGCCAGAATTTGTACTCCACAGTTCCCCGACAATATTTTAAGAGAAAAATAATACAAATTAATACAGACAGTCAACTCTCAAACCACCACGTGTGTGTATGTGTGTGCGCGCGCGGGCGCGCCTAACTTTACATCAATTTTCACTTTTTTTCCCAAGCCTGGAAAGGACTTAACAGCATTGGGCGGACTTGAAGCAGTGAACCTTGGTAAGAGTCAGAAGGTATTGAAACAGCTTTTATGTAAATGTTTCCACAAACTTGTACTTTGGAAAAGCTTCCTGGTACTTGAAAATAAAACTAATTTTTAAAATAGTCTCAGAAAGGACCTTTGCAGGCACTTTAGAGTGGTTCTCACGCCCGGACCCTGCAGGGGGAGATCAGTCAGCACACACCGACCTCGAACTCGTCTGAGGTCCGGTGGGTGACTGGGTGGAGAGACTGACCCGGCAGAGACCTTTAAGGACGGGTAAGGGCTTGCCCACCTGCCTTCTACCTTCGATGGCGACTCCAGTACATCCAGCAGGGCAATCACTTCTACCCCAGGATGTGTCACTCACAGACTGTTTTGCAACAACCCCGCCGCGCGAGGCGAGTTGCCCTAGACGGGGCTAACGTGCCGAGGAAGTCGACAACCTCGGGGACCACCTGGGAGGAAGAGGGAAGGACTTTTCTCTCTGCCCGGGCCCGCCGCCCGGCCTGGCGCCGGCCGCCCCTACCTTGAGCAGGTACTTGTCCACGATCTCCAGGCCGCAGCTGCTGCACACGCACTTGCCGGGCGGACAGCCGGAGCCCGAGGCCATGGACTGCGGCGAGGACGACGGGGACAGCGGGGCCGAGGAGGAGCTCGAGTCCTCGTCCCCCGCTCCCTCGGGGCTCACCTGCTGGAAGCGACCGGGCGCAGGCGGTTCCAGACCCCTCCTCCCTCCACCCAGCTCCCCGCGGGGCGCCGCCTCCCCGCCC